AACAGCAAAGATACTATCAAAAACATCAGCATAAACCATAACCAGCTCCTGAATGATTCTCCTGACATCAATATACGTGCAAAACCAATCTCAACTCAACAACAACAACATTCTCAACAAAATCCTCAACAACATCAACAACAACATCCTCAACAACATCAACAACAACATCCTCAACAACATTATCATCAACAACTTTTCACAGAAACAGCACATCCCTACAAAAAAGGACCAAAAAGAAGGAAACCCGAAAACGTCAAACGCGATCAAAATGGCGGAAAATTTCAAAATTGGGGTCCGATACGGCTTGATGATGGCGTGACATTCAAAAATGGCGAAAGTTTTTTATTTGGCGCCAACTTTGTCACTTCTACATTCATGCATATCTCCTTCAAGGTTTTCCAAAATAATTAGCTTGTTCATTTCAATAGTTTTAATACATTTTCCTTTAAGTATTTATTGATAACTATTTTTAAATATCGAAATTTCCTTTTAATTCCTCAAATTTTTAAAATTCCAGAGCAATAATTGTTGAATATTATTAGTGAAAAATTTCTTTTGACCATCCTAGCTGTTGCGAATTTGAACAAGAGATTGATTGCCATCTCGATAGTGAATCGTTGGATAGGCAGGAATGGCTTAAATGGCTTACTGCTATTCTTTCAATAGCTCGTTTTTAGTTCTAAAAAATGACTTCACTATGTGAATTCACTATTTCACATCACTATTATTTTAAGTTACAATTAAGGATATCTGTATATCATAACCACAACCAGTATTACGCTAGCATCCTGAAATTATGAAATTAAAAAAAAATCACTCCCCGATTCTTCTCTTAATTATTTCTAACTCTTTTAATTTTGAAAGAAATAATTCTTTCTATCTATACTAAACTTTACTGCATTTTAGTTTATAAGTTGTTTGGTGTGAAAGCTATTTGTATGAAAATTTTAAAAATCTTAAAATGTGAAAAGTATTTTTATGGGAGGTTTTAGACCTAATTTCTATTTTTTTAACGCTTTAGTAAAAAAAATGTTAAAAAGTAAAAAAAGGATCGAGGTAACGATGAAAATGGAAAATTAGGACAAAAATTGAAATATAGTTAGGGAAAGTTGTAAAGAAATCGGCTGATGGTGATTGAGTGACTTGGTGAGAGACAAAAAATAGCACGTTCTATCATGGGATGATGGTGGCACAGATGATTACGAAGACGTTGCTATCAAATTAATGATTTGCATATCATGATAACACTGATAGCGTCGTGATGATGCTGACGCCAATAATGATATTAACCTGAAAACCTGCGATCAAATATAACCTATGGCTGACTTTATTTTACCGAAACCAACGAACAATAGAAGAAGAAAAAAAAAGCCAAAAGAAAACATTTCAAAAGATAACAAAACGACTTATAAAAAATTGTTATAATAAATAAGTTTCAGGTCAGGTCAGAGGTCAAAGAGGCCATGTTGTTCTTCTTTCACTCGCCACCATCTCTCTCGTCATCTACTTCCTTCGTGTCCTCCTCTTCACTTCACAGCGACATCGACTCGGGCCTCAACTTTCCACAATACATCGGCGACGACAACCACCACAAAAAGACGCCATCGCCCTCATCATTTCACACCCCACCATCATCGCCGTCACCAGCGTCGCCCTCCCAACACAAATTCGTCCTTCACCTTGAACTAAACTCGGCCCAGGTCAGACTAAGCATAGACGCCGGGACACGCGAAAATCACAACCCCCACAGACCCAATTACCACAATCACCCCCACCTCCACCACCACCACCAAAATCCACACCACCATCATCATCATCACCGGCAACAACTCAAAATCGGGGTGAAGACTTCGTTTGACCTCGACATTTGGCACAAGGTCGGGGTCACGTGGTTCGATAAGTATGTCACGCTATCAGTTGATGACGCGAAACACGTAGAAAGGGTCAACGATGAGTTACTCGGCATACTTAATGATATAATTACTAATAGTAATGATAATAATAATAATAACAATAAAAGTAATAATAATACTAAAAATAATAATAAAAGTAATGAATATAATGGTGCTAAAGATGAAAGTGAGACCACTGAACGTTTCGAGAGTAAAAATACTTTCGTTAGTAGTAGTAGTAGTAGCGGCAGTACTGGTAGTAGTAGTAGTGGTGGTGATAGTAGTAGTAGTAGTAGTAGAAGCGATGATAGCGACAGTAATGATAGCAACAGTTTTAGTAGGAGTAGTGGTGGTGGTGGTAGTAGTAATAAAAAACGAAACTTGGTTAGTAGAAATCCGCTGTTTGATAGTAAACTCAGACTAGTATTAGATAGAAGTACTAGTGCAAGCAGCCGCAGTAGTATTAGCAGCAGTAGTGGTGGTAATGGTAGCGGCAGCACCAGCAGCAGCAGTAGTAGTGGCATTAGTAGTAGTGGTGGTAAAGGTAGCGGCAGCAGCAGCAGTAGTGGTGGTGGTAGTAGCAATGAGGCCATCAGCATTAATGCATCTGAAAAAAGTAATGGCGACATTATCTTAAGTGGACGTAGTGATGATAGTATCGACAAAAGAACATTGCACGCCAGAAGTAGTAAAAATACTACTACTAGTATTGGAGGTAGTGGTAGTGGTAGTGGCAGTAGTAGTAGTAGTAGTAGTAGTAGTAGAGACGATGTTAGTGGTAGTAATGTTGACACGTTTATCGTTACGGAAAGTAGTATTAAAAACAGAGAAAGTAAAATTACTGCAAGTAGCAGTGATGGCAGTGGTGGTGGTAGCAACAGTGGAATTGTGGGTGATTTGTACATTGGTGGCGTTCCGCTTAAAGTTCAACACATGTTTAAGAAGGTGGGTTGATGTTCGTTTACTATGGACAATTGAAATTCAAACAAACAACGAACGAGTGAATGAACGAGTGAATGAACGAAAGAATGAACAAATGAATGAACGAACGAACGAAGTTAATGGATGAATAATAGGATGCACTATTTTTGATTAGTGTTGTCAATGGAGATGGAAATATAAGTCTCATCTCAAGTATCAGCTAGGTCATTACTATCTCACTCTTCTTCCTCTTCAGTACCATCCCTCCTTTTTTCCTCTCTCTCTTTTCTTCCTCTCTCTTCTCATTAGCACCCTCTTTTTCATCTTTTTCTTTTTCATCACAACCATCATCATCACAACCACCATCATCGTCATAACTATCACCGTCAGTCACAACAAGTTTTTTCATCGCACGACTCCCATCTTCCAAACGTCATCATCATAAAAAGATTATGACGTCATTGTAATAATAATCTTATAATAATAATAATAAAAATATAAATATTAATAATATAAATATTAATAATATAAATAAGTGATAATAATAAAAATAACAATAAATAATAATATAAATAATAATGATAATAATAATAAACATTCCACTTACGCCAAACTCGCAGACGAGATTCCGACGAAACTTCGTCGGCTGCGTGGGCGATATTAAAATTGACGGCCATCTTGTCCAGGGTCTCAACATCGGAAGTGACGTCACAGTCAACAACGTCAACAACAATAATAATAAAAATAACAACAATAAGAATAACAACAACAACAATAATAATAATAACGACAACAAAATTATTAATGACTTCAATGGTAACAATTACAATCCTGTTAATAGTTCTTTGGTACACTATGACGTCAGCGCTG